ATGCATTACTCTTCAATGTCAGCCAAGTATACTTTCTGTCTGTTCTTCATGCCCATGAGCTCAATAGTTACCCACACTGGTCCCCACAACCTTACATAATGTCCTGCCATACCACAGAGCTTCTGTATGACTTCTGGTACTCCTTTGTGATCCAGAACCTTGATGCTCACAAGGGTTTTCTGAGATGCAGAATCTATGACAAAGTTGTACCTTTGGCCATCCAGCTTTCCTGTCACGTAGGCACTATGTGTGCTTGCCATTTTACACCTAGCTGTTGGAAATTTCATGATGGGGGTTGGTGGGCATCCCTCAATACCAACCACTACTGATTCCCCGAGACTGACTTATTGGTAGTATTCTTCTTACACTGGCTCCTCATATGTCCTTGCTCTCTAGAGTTCCAACAACCTTTCTTGGTAGCAGCCTTTCCTGCCGTGGCATCTTCCCTGTGTTGAAGATGCCGGCATTGAGCTCTCTTGTGCCCAGGTTTGTTACAGTACCAGCAAAGTCCCTCAAACGTCTCTGAGAGCTGCCATTTTCTGGCCTTAAATTCTGATGACTGTTCCAACCTTGGTATTTCTTTGCTGGACTTAATGTAAGATTCGAATTCCAGAGCTCTGGCCATTGCAGCCTGCATAGTAGAGGAGAGTGCTTGCTTTACTTGTACCTTCAGTTGTGGACTGTCCAATGCATCTACAAACTGATCTCTCAGCAACAGCTTTGGGACATCGGGTGTGCCTTGTGTGCCATACTTTCCAAATCCTGTGCCAGCTCTTGCAGGCTCTCCCCTTTAGCATGGACTCTCGTCTTAAACCTAGCCCTGTAGACTTCTGACTGATTTTGGGTTCCATATCTGAGTTCTAGAGCCGCTACCAGTGCTCTATAGTTGTGTCTGTCGTCTGCTGACAACAGTCCAAGTATTTCCAGTGGTTGTCCCTTCAAGCTCGTTACCAGATATACTGCTTTATGCTCCTCTGTCCATCCATTCATTTCTGCCAGTAGCTCAAATTGTGCTCTATATGCTTCCCATGGTGCCTTTCCATCGAATTCCTGTGGCTTCCTTCGTACTGGATCACCCCTATTGCTGACATTCATATCTGAGATGTGACTTCTAAGGGGACTGAAGATGTCTGCATTAGGGTTTAGCTACGGGGTTTGGAAGGGGCTTGCCATTGTCTGGGGCTGATCAGGTCCATGGCTAATATATCCTCCTTGTGTAAAAGACAGTAAATCATCCTTTAATGTATTTAATTCACTTTGAAATTTACTAATCTTTTTCATTTGTACTTCTGTTTCCTTTCTTGTTCTAGTTGCCACTGGTGCTGGTTTTCTTGCCTCTGCTGTAGCCTCTCTTCTTGTTCATTTTCTTTCTCCTCCAACCACTGCTGTAGTCTCTCTTCTTGTTTATTTTCTCGTTCTTCTTGTTTGTTTTTTTCCTCCAACAACTGCTGTAATCTCTCTTGTTTATTTTGCTGTTCGAGCTGCCATTGTTGTAAGTTTTTGCCACTGCTGTTGTCTCTCTTCTTGTTTCTTTTCTTGTTTTTATTGTTTCTTTTCTTTTTCCTCCAACAACTGCTGTCATCTTTCTTATTGTTTCTTTTCTCGTTCTTCTTGTCTTTTTTGCTGTTCTTGTATTGCTGCCATGAAATCTCCTAAGCTGTAGTTTGATTTGCCACTTCTCGTTTCCATCTTTTTTTTATCCCACTCTCTGACAACAGTTTGTTGCGTATCTGCTTGTTTGTTAATTTCCTGTTGAAATTCTTTCAGGGAAACTTCAGCGATACAAGTCCTTTCTTGATTAAAATTAGTTTATGGATAAAACTTTTAGTAATACACAGAATTTCCATAGTCACTTTAAACTTAACAACCTTCATAACACACGCGAAAAAATCACAGCGATTCACACACTTTACTTACGGTGCCTACTGTTCGCTTGGCTCAATTATCTATCTCTTCGATCTATTTGCATATCTATATCTATCGCTGGCTTTATTTACTGGGCTTATATACTAAAAAGAGGGCGTCTGGCAAACACTCGGACATTCGCGCGGTTCCCCGATAATTCTAGAAACTCCAGCGCGCATGCTCCCAGCGTCACGCGACTTCCGCTGACGTAAATTAGTGTTATCTAGGTTTGATCTTTTTATCAGAAAAAAACATTTTCATACTATACTTTTTGTATGAAAATATATTGAAATAGGTACAAAAACATATTCTGGCACATGTTGTATAACGTTAACACTGTGGCTGATTTGCATATTATAAAAATAAAGAAATAACAAAGAAATGTCTTATATTCTCGATAACTTCTACAAAGATGACTGAATGCTCCTGCAAATGGGTCTAGAATTTGATGGGATATGAAGAATTAGTCTGAACTAAGGAAAATTCTGAAAACTAATTCAAGGTCAAATTACGACACTAATGAGTATGCGAAAAGTAGGAAATATGTTACAGTGACACGTTAATGGTCATTTAATAAAAAACAAACCTCTTATCAATTTTACCTTAGTTTACACTATATATACCCTAACAATGCACATTTATGATTTCTATAAAGCCAACAGATCTGAAATTATGAATTAAAACCACTATGAGGAGGTCAAATTTTCGATTTTTGAGAAAAACGTGTTTGAGAATTTGGCGCAAAATTGTCACTTTAAGGGTCTTTGTCTAGGTGAAAAAAAGATATACCACATCCAACAAATTGTGAAACTTACACCCTTAAGGATTCGAAATATGCAAAAAATAGATTGGGATATTTTTTGACATTTAAAGGGTATATGCTACCTTAAACTAAGGATTAATATTGTCATCTAAAATGAAGTATAAAAAGTTACTATTAAATATTAAAGCATTGTTTTTGATATCTAAGAACCTTCCATTTTATTAAATACTTTTTTTTTATTAATATAGACCTCATTTTTTGTAACAAAACAGAGTCCCCATATTTTAAGGAATCAGTGTTTCAGAGCCCCCT